AAATAAATAAAGAGCCTTTAGCATATAAACGGGCAAGCTTTCCAGTCCGACAGGACTTTTCTTTGGGCTGCCAAGCTAGAGAGCTGGGAAACAGAAAAATGCCAAAATATTCTTGGGTAACATTAGACTTTTTTCTGTTTTTCCCTTACCTCAAGCTTTGCAAAAGTCAGCTCTGCCTGTTAAAGATATTTTAGGATCTCAACGAAGGTGTTAACTTACCCGGTGTTGGGTTCTGGATATGCACCATGAAGCTGTGTGTTTTTCCTGTTCAGAGAAATGACTCACCCACCCCGACCTGGGCCAGTACAAATTCTGGCGACACCTCAAGAGCAGAGCTGCCTCGGGTTGGCTCCCTCCGCCTTTGGTGTGGTCGGACCCAGGAGGAAACTGAACTTCGCACTGGGCATCCTCGGCAGGAGCGCGCTTAAAAATAGACCCTCGGGGGCCTGGGAACAAATTTGTTGGAGGTTTTCTTTTCTTCCTTGTGATTTTTCAAAAAGAAAAAGAAACCAGTTTAAAAAACACACACTATCTAGTTTAATAATTTATATTTATAGCCCCCCATACCTCAAGGAAACAGCGCCCCATTCTCAAAGTCTGAATAATTAACCTAAAACAGTGCAGTGCTCGCTAGCATCTTCCCTGATCCAGAAAGCAGTTTTAATTTAGACTCCCAGTACCGAGGAAATGCTCGGGGGGGGGAAAAACAGCGATTCTCCTCCCCCCTGCACCCCACATAACAACGGTGCTCCTGATGTATGGGGCTGCTAGCTAGCCTTCCACGCTGCCCGGTTCTTCCTTGCCTTCCTGCCCCGTCCCTTCAGTCCCTGCAGGTGTCTGGGCGAGATTCTTGCGGCAGTTCCAGTTTAGCGCCGGTGGGAGAAGAGAAACCGAGGCGATCGGCCCGGGCGCGCTCACCACCTGGGAAAAAGTCCCGCTGTGTATACAGTGGGTCTGACGCCCACAGGAACAAGCAAAAGATTGGGGTTTGTAGCTGTAGATGATTATACGCCCGGTATATTTCGTGCCTCTACACAGATTTATGAGGACTCTTGTTGTACCAGCAGCTCAATAGCTATCAACAAGACGGGGGGGACTTAAAAATACTATAAAGGAAAGGACAAGGCAAATCAACAGTTTTACATCTCTCACACACCTTCATACAGCCAACATGAAAAATCTGTGTTGAGTAATACTTTGGTTGGACCAGCAAAAATCATCCTGGCGGGGAAGGAGCAAGCTTTTGCTTTTTTCAAGAACTGTTTCCGGAGCCCAGCAGCGTAGGGGTTAGAACAGAAGAGGGGAGCTGGAAAAGAGAAATAGGAAACCCCAAGAGATGCATTCTGACAAAAGCTTTCCTAGATTTAGAGTCAGCTTTATCAGTTGCATGAAGCGTGGGCTTCAAATTGGCAGGGATATAAAAACACCAGGAAGGCATGTAAGCGCTGAGATGGGAGAATAGAAAAGTAGACAGCAGAGACACGGATGATGACCTTAAAACAGAGACTATTCGCAAAACATGGTTGCGGGGTATTAAGACATCATTGCACAGATGACCATTCTTTTTCAAAAGTATATATGGCTAGAATAATATATTGATATTTCCCATAATATATTAACTCTTGGATCCCAAGGCTGCACCCCCTTCAAAATGGACATCCCTATTCTTTTCCAAGTGAAGGAAAAGACAGGAAATTATAGTTTATGCAGAAGGGAATGAAGATGAATTAAAGGACTATAATAGTGAGCTATTACCAATGAGCAGGTTCTTGTTTATACATCTTGTGTTTTTATATAATCTTTTTCATATACTTAATGCATTCATCGTGCACATGTATTTTTTTATTGTATCAGTTTAATTCAGTGGCATCAGTTACTCAGCCATGTGCCCAGACGCCATTAGTTTGCGCACACAACTAAAGGAAGTATGTTGTTTAAAATCACATTTGCTTACAGGAAAAAAAAAATCTAAGCAGAACATTAAAAAAAAAACACTTAGTGCCAAAAATCTTTAAAGCATTTGCATTGACATGCTGGTGTGATGCTTATTGTGTTGTGATTGAATTGGGAGTACCATAAAGTATCTTATGATTATGTGCTAAGACAATCAGGTCAGGTCAGGCTGAAGCTTACTCTTGCATTTTAACAGTAAAATTTTCACCAGCCTATGATAGGAATACTAACTGTTTACCCTTATTCTTGCATTTGTTATTCTGGTAGTGCTGGAGGAAGACTTTTGAGAGTTGAACTCTTAAAACAAGAGAACTTCCCCAATCTGTGATTACTACTGTATATCCCTGCTCCCTTGTTTGGGAGATGGAGTATGATGACACAGCTGTTGACAGGAGGAAAAAAGAAACACCTTCTGAAATGGGATGGAATGGGATATGTGAGGTATCAGGGTCAATGTTTATGATTTTACCAAGGCAGTCTCCTTCAATCTGGTGCATTCCATCTGTTACACCAGAGCACCCATCATCCACAGCCGGCACAACAATCACTGTAGTGACAAAGTCAGTTCCTTTCATAATTTCCTCCATTAGTCAAGGGAATGAGAGCCACCAATTGCTGTTTAAAGAGACCCCCAATGAGAAAATATGAGTGTGGGCCGCACTGTGTTTAAGTACATGCTTAAGCTCATCACCTTGTTCTGAGCCATGGAAAACTCCCTCCCTCCTCATGCGTTCCCTCCAAGCATCCTTCCCTGATGTATCTTTTCTGTTTTTAAGCTTCAGGTCTGCCAGTTTCTCACCTTGGGGTCAGGCTATACCCACTTCCTCAGGGGATAGAGGATGATTATCTTGGTAAATTGCAGTGTAACAAGTTCCAAGTTAGTTTGTTTTAGCTAGCCGTTAGCTGCAAGTTGATTGTGGTGACATCTGAAGTAAGATGCCACTTTAAAAAACCCAACTTTCTAAAACCCTACTAATGGTACAGGGGATAGAGGATGATTATCTTGGTAAACTGCAGTGTAACTAGTTCCAAGTTAGTTTGTTTTAGCTAGCAGTTAGCTGCAAGTTGATTGTGGTGACATGGCGGCTTTGAAGGAAAGCACATCTGAAGTAAGATGCCACTTTTAAAAACCCAACTTTCTAAAACCTTACTAATGGTATAGTAGTATAGTTCTTACCTTCTTTCTTGTTTTTTTAAACTAACATGAGCTACTTTGGGAGACAATAATTCCCTGCAAAGTGGGATAAAAATATGGTGGCCAGAATCCTATTGGCAATTTGCACATTTACATTATATTCCTGGTCACACAATGGGCATACAACCGGCACTTCATTAATTGGTGGCTATTCATCACTGCAACTTTTGTGATTTCATTTATGGATGTATGAATCACCAACAGGATTCCAGCCGGTAAATAAGAATAGAGTACAATAACTGGAGTGGGGACAGTTGGGGGGAACCTGTACTAAAGGCTCCATGGAGAGGCTAGTGAAGTCATGACCTTATAGACTTCCATGCATGCAGTTTACTTATTTATATTGATCCTGAGCCATACTCTTAGAGCCACAAATAGCAACACTGTCACCCAAGGCAAGTGGCACCATCTCCCATCTGCTCGTCTGTGAGGCAAGGGTATGAACCCCTTGTGAATTTATTGCAGGAGAGGGGGAGAGGACA